TTCGTTCAGCTTCGGTTATTGCCTCGTAGTTGTCCGATAAGCCGAAGAGAAAGCTTCGAAAGAAGTTATCTGGTGAGCTGTTTCCCGACCAGTCCCCACTTACTTCACTCTACGAAAGTGATTTTTGGAGTTTGTACAGACTATTTCCGCTCGATATTGCTTAATTTTCTCTCAAATTCGATATACGTATTTACCATATCATCTATCGAATCGTTTTACCATATCATATCGTTTTATACCAGAAGATTATGTCACATTACATAGAATATCTTTTTCCATACCAATATTTCCTCGTTTTTCTCCCATTCTGCTGAGGTTATTCGATGTGTAAACAGAGAAAACTCGTGGATAAATTTTAAGGCAGAAAATATATTTAAATAGAAGTGTAATTGTAAGTAAGAATACTATTTAAGCTGGTTCAGATCCGCTCGCTAGCTGTGTTACCCAATAACTAAAAACCCCGAAGCAAACGTCGCCTGTCTACCGTTTATGGTCTGTCTTTGTCGCAGTCTTTTGTTTACACGCTGTCGATGGCTTCAGTGCTTGAGAAAACTAAAAAAGACCAGATGTAGAGTTTTCTTAGAAGTGGTGACCACTTCAACACTTTCTAATTTTCATCATAAACCAACATGAACGCAACGATTATTAATACCACATAACATGGTAATTATAAAGAAATCACAAGTATCTATGTAGTCAACTTCGAGTACTCCAAAAATAGTGATGCAGCCTCGGAGCCCACCCATGTCTAACTCAGAGCAGCCATAAGACCAACCACACGAGAAATTCGTGTCCAGGATTTTTTCCAGTCAGGTTGTTGGAAGCATAACAAGCTCAAACAACTGACTACTCGTCGATAATCGAGAATTTTGTCAATATATCAAACATCCGATATACATCGAAGCGCGATTATTTTTCCAATGCAACCCTAGAGCCTAACTCGTTCTCTTTTGCTTTTCCATTCGTTGAAACAACATCTTCCAGTAGAAGAAACACGTGCGTAACACGTTTTGTCCAGAACAGAACGAATTCTCCCGTACGGATGAGGATTTCAGATTCCCCGGCACGTTTTCAAGGCTGAAGAAACAGGCCGACAAGCGAATAACGGGCTCCAGGAAGACTTCCACTCGGTCAGAACCTAGTGCCGATACCTTTTGTCTGGAAACGTCGGCTTTTTCTGCATTCCGTCGAGGCCTGAATAGGTCGGCCTCTCACCTTGCATACCGATCGTTTGTTTAAGCCCGAAGATGCGCTATACACATCGGCCACCGGCACCCGCCAGCTTCACGTATATGTATATAGCGATGCATCACTGCATTCCAATGAGCCACTCGGCCGTATTGCCGATTCAATAACGCTTCCGTTCGATTCAGCCGCGAAACACGCGTGCTCTGAGAGAACGTGGTCGCGTGTCACGCGAAAATCTCCTCGTCTCTGGAGAGCCTGCTCCTCGTGGAGAGGCTCGCACACTGCGACGAGCCTTTCACGGGCATCGTGAATCACCGGGAATTTCAGTATGAAGCGTTTTTGCTTTTTTTTCTATACGGATGAGTTCCTGTGGATGGTTCCTTTCGTGGATCGTTGATAGATGTCAATGAGATGTTTGAGATTCCGAATCGCAACGAGAGGTATGTCATAGTGTATTGTATGTTAATAAATATGATTGACGTGTCCGATCGTATCCGGTGGTCTACGATAGATAGCTACCGGAAGTATTTTCATTAAGAAGGCAGAGGTACGAAGGTACGAGGGTAAGAAGGCGAATTATCGATGGAACGAAGAGCGTGCAAGCGTCGAGGACTCGACCCGATCATTGTTTTATTTTAGTTTATTACTATACCATTGTGTCGATAGGAAGCAGCCTGTTCAGCGCAATTATTAGCTTTTGCACGCGACTTCGTTCGCGTGGACTACTAATGTACGCAACAATTTTCAAGCGAATTAATATTTTTTTATGCTAACAATTGGGTTATTTCCTGTAGTAAAAAATATTAAATTACATGACGTGAAAAATAATCATCGTTGCTTGACTTTTAGGAAACGTGGCAGCACACACAACTCAGATGACAGGCTATTTCTCAGCTTCCACAAAACGGATCCAGATGCAACACACCCCGTTATCTTTCGTGGTCACTAGGCTATACGACAGAGAAAATCTCATCAAAATCCATTCAGTCGTTTCTACGTGATGCGAGTACAGAGGAAAGTTCAAAAAATTAGCTTTTCTCGATTCCATAGCTTACAGGCCGTTCCTGGTTCATTGATTTATTTTTTTTTATTCGACGTACGGACACAACCCTTCTACTGTTTTATGTATAGATTACTCCGTCTTAAGAGTCCACAAAGACGACGAATTATATGCCGATACGTTACAACGATAGCCATCTGTATGATACAAATTATACATGTAGATAGAACATAATATAATTCATAGCTCGTTTATCGACTACGAATTGAACGCGTTATGATGACTTCGCGCGTGATTTGAGTTCATTAGAAGCGAAGCGTGTACTAAGGGTAGTCGTAACTATTGATTGGCCCAATTATTTCCACCGAGTTAGAAATCTGGTGCGACGACATTTAAACGTTCTGACGATGTTTTCTTACTTTGTTCCTTAGTCTCCATTTTCTCATTCTACAACTGATTATCGATTGTTTCGATTATTAAGCGAAGAGTAGACATCGTACATCAATATATCCTGAAATTAATGTCGCAAGAATTACAATACATGGAACCTATTCAACGAAGAGTGAATTTAATACGATACGCAGAATACAAGTACCTATTCATAAACTAACCCGCATATTCATATTTAACATCGTGTTAACAAGTGCTTATTAAAGCGTAAGGGATGGATTACCGCATAGTATTATAACATTAGCTATGAAAATCTAAAGCATTTAGTTGGGTACATGAAATAAAATCGTTAAACGATCAAAACGATTGGTCATCGGATGTGTTTAACAGTATCTCAATTATCTTAATTTCAAATAAAATAGACGAGATGACTGGATTATTTTATCATCCTGATGGCCTTCATTGTTTTAAATACAAATCTCAGAAAAACCGCATTAAGGAATAACATACCGTTAACGCTTAATATCCTTGTGACTAAGAAGAAGGAAGAGTGGATTCGATCAATATTCTTTTTGTCACTCTTCCTTCTACTTACATTCTGTAATTTTCCCAATGAAGAAATTTAAGAAATTCATACTTATAACATTGTGATAAACTGTTTCTTGATCCTTAATAGGTTAAGACGCGTGCTCAACGGCGAACCAGTTCGTGAACAGTTCACGAACAGTACTGGCAAGATGCTCGCGAACATTTTGTGTCCATTCTATGTCATACCATGTTTCATGAATATATGTATTTATAGATAATACGCAAACAAATGACAGACGACAAACTATTCGCGAGTACCAGTGAAGATACATCTTTACGAGATAACCTAACATTTCATTCGTTACTCGGCCGGTTGATTATCTTTGCTCGTGATTCAACGAGGCGGTTATCATTAACACAAACGTACCTCTGTTTCCAGATAACTGTTTTTATCACTATACACGACAGCCGAGAGTTAGTTTTCGGTCGAAAATATAAATTTTCCGCAAAGCACGGTAAGTTTGAATGAACCGCATACCTCGAGACTAACCTTTCCATGCGCGCCGCTTGACGAAATGATACTGTCGTGTTCTAGTTTCACTGAAATTGACACCACTTTCAGTTGGTTTGTTATTGATTCGGAACATCTCGATAGAGAACTCATACCTCGAACAAAAGCGAACTAGAGTTTTGCTGCGTAGCAACGTTACGTGAAACGCAAATTCTCTGTTGACACACAGGCGTTCTGTTGGTTTTAAATCACTGAAAAAAAATAAAAACTAGCAAGAAACAACGAGTCCGAAGTGCCAGCATGTTACTAATGTAGTGTACACAGTTTACACACACCTGTTTTGATTTTTTCCGCTGTTTACTAACCTATCTTGCCGAGTACGTACATACAAGGATAAAATTTCGCGTGAAAGCCGTGACTATCGAAGTATACGTACATTGTATATACATATTTCGTGTTTAGTTCTTCGTTTCGATGTATCGATTTGAACGACTTTCAGTCGTTTTAACAGCGTAACTCTTATTACAAATCGATTAATCGCGATTCCACGATTCATCACGTTCGTGCCGTAAGAAGCATTAAGGTTAGTAACGTCGTGCGATCTGGGTTGCCCTAGCAACGAAAAAAAACGCGCGAATAACACCTATACTTGCTGTACAGTTCTCAATACGCCTCCTGTCGTTTTTATTGCTTATGAAACTCCTCAATAGTCTTTACGAAGCTTCCTACCACTACGATTATTAAGTGAAATATAAAGCTTGCATTAAAAAAAACAAAATAAAGAAAAAAGCAAGCCTTTATCAATATACGTTTGTACTTTACAAAAAAGGTATTGTATCACAAAACCACCATTGCAAATCCATCAAATTTCTGTGGAAGATCACGAATTGAATATTATTATTCTGATATCTTTTTGGTACTATTAGCAGATGCTTTGGAACAAAGAAAAGTACACGACCAGAGTTCCTGTAGGATCACTTTATACATACATATAGGTTATACATTAACACGCATGAATATAGTAAAGTCACAGATGAAGGTGAGTCATAGTCAAAGGATGCTTCATAGATGGTTCATGCAACAGATAAGGCTCGTTAAAGACAACTACTGGAGCAATTTAAATAATAATCGTAAATGACATGAATAGTCAAAGATGGAAAAGATATTTTCTCTTAGTAAAAATAATTACTGGGAAATCGTTAGACAAAAGGTTAACGTTCGAACTTGAATAATTAATTGTAATTAAGTATGTGCATAGCAGTCAGAAACGTACAAGACAAAAGTAAGAACTACACACGGAGGAATTTTCCTAAAACATTGATGTATCTATGCAGGTTAGTCGCTAGTAAATACGATTGATTGTTCAGCCGATAAATAGGTTAGAATATTAACAATTTCTCATTACGTAAAAAGTCACTGACTCCTATCCTAATCTGAGACGATTGCGCGCACTGCGATTCTTCGGTTCCCACAATCTGTCCAGCGTATTATGATTATCCTGCTGTCGGTCACCATGCCGACTTTCAAGAGAACACACGAAAAAATGTCGGATTCGATGCGAGACGAGCGACAGCTATGTGTGCTTTTAACTCCTTGTTCACCTTTGACTTCCTTTTACAAGGAAAAAGAGAATATTCTTGTTAAAAATTCAACTGGAAATATTGGAAATACAGTAGCGTGCAGGTTATATAGCGCGGTGAAAGAAGAATTTGCTTCGCGTTATTGCGCGTTGTCACGCTACGTTTAATATTATTTTTCTATTGAGGTTAAGAGGTGTATCATGAGTGGAATTGTTTTTATGCGAACTGACTGACAGTCGAAATAAACCTATGCTTGTCGTTTAATCTAAATAGACTTTTGCCGGTTAGTGGATCGTGGATATTTTGTACGGCAAATCTAATATATAACTTATATTTCAAAGTAACGAATTCAAAGTAAAATGTTATTTTTCGTTAACTCTTCCAAAGTGACAATGAACTTAGTTTAAATCGTGTCCACGAAAGAACAGTCGTAGTATGTGTATAATAGGTATAAGTATATTAATAAGTTTTTCGTAACTTTTATAAAATCACTAAGATTTCAGAAATACCTAATAATCTTGAAGTTTATAAACTCAGAGAAGAAATTAGAATGAATAGTTCGGATGCTTCGACCATAATCCATCACAAGCATGACTTGATATTATAAGACAAGGCTAATTTTACTTTAGCGAGATTATTCTTCCGTCTTTTAAGCCAAGCAATAGTGGTTAAGATAACCGGTAACATTTTCTATGTAATGTATTCATAGAAAGAAAAGTGCACAACAAGTCTCATTATTGTAATTCGCAGTGCGTGAAATGCCAAACACCGAATCTTCCCTTTGAATATATTCGTAGCACTTACTTGTCATTTTCATGCGTTTCTTTTCAGGATCGGTTGCCGGCACGATAGCCTTGAGAGAGGGTGCGTTTCACGAGGTGCCCGCATAGTACGGCGCGTATACTTCTCGATTTCTTTGAATTTTGTCTCGTAGCTAGACCAAAAGTCCACCCTCGTTGTTAGGGAACATGCATGTAAAGAGGAGACACGTAATACAACGGAACGACGACGCCGCGAGAGACAAGCGTGGAAAGAGGCTGCTATACACACCCGCATGCGATCCCGTACAAACCGTAACCTTACACGAACGTCGCGCTAAGTGTGTACTGTGTATCGATCCCGAGAGTACACACGAAGACAGCTCTGAGCGCCACCACGTTCTCTCTCTGTCTCTCGTAGGAGAGGCGCTGTCTCTTGTTGTTGCTTTCGTTAGAACGCCGACGGTTACTTAGACCCGGTACGTATTTCAAACATGAGCTTGGAAAGAAATTATTGAAACTCGATCGCACACCACACCAATCTTTTCATTTCCATGCAACATCGGCTAACAATGAGAACAAGGACATGGTTAAAGGCTTTTCACGCGACTTATTCGCCGGCTCCGTATACCGGTTATGATCGTCGAATAAATCCAAAGGATACGTATCGTTGTTATGTATTTAGGTAGCTATTAAGTGAAAAAGTTCTCTTACCTTAATTTTCAGTGAATAATCTGAACACTGACACACAACGATACAACACACACTCCACACCCGACGAAGGTTCGAGCTCGACTGAAAGTCTTCGCGGAGTGGGTTGGCGGGTGGCGCCACGGCCAATCCCAACGTACTAACACGCAATTCCATCTTCCTCGTAAGACGTATGTATAGTTCGCTCCGACGAATTGTTCCGCTCGAGGTAAATATCGAAGAGAAAACACTTCTCCTGTTCTGCACACCCTTCGATTAAACGCTCGATGACATTGTTTGCTGTCTCTAACCCTATCCAAGATCCCAATTGTGCCCTGACGTGTTGAATAAGAGAAGCTTCGTGATATTCTCGTAAATTGAAACGATCTATTCGAGCAGACCGTGCAATATAGGAGCCACTTGACTCTCTTTGCTCTACTATGCAAGGAATATGTATGAATTTCGATGTATTATGAACAGCGATACGTTTCATAGCTTATGCTTATGGATTTCTCGTATCTCTTCGCGTATACAATAAACGTGCAGAGTGTGCTGCATTATACATGCTGTGATTTAAATATTCCTAAGCGCCTGATATCGGTATGAATCGAGTTGAGAATCGAGATATTGAAGATATAGATTACATTATCGATTATTACAAGATAAATCCTGATATCATTTTTAATCTTTTCTCTTCAATATTAAAAATTTCTGTATTAAGTAATTTAACCTCAACATTGATCGAATCAAATGATTGTTTTGAAAAATGTTTCTAAATAAGTTAGATTCAAATAATAGTAATAATGTAACAACGTAAATGACTGTAATTTGATAAAATATCACAATTGTGGTTAGCTATTAGAACTACTAATAATCAATACATCGTATGAAAAGATGGAATACAATGCGAAAACGCTAGATAAGTTTAAGAAGATTTAGATTTTAGAATTTATTTTCACATGCCTGTATTTCTTTCTTATGATGTTATAAATTTTTTTCGTCATATAGTTAAAAATAAATTGCGATTATATTAAGTTATCAGCTGTCAACAATGATCACCTACTAACAATTTATGAATGAAAATGTTAAAATTCCTTAAGAAATAAAATTCTACTTAACAAAAACGGATATTTACTTTAAACTTGATAATATTAAATAACATAAATAAAGGATAAAAAATTTTAACAAAAATACAGAAACTTCCTTCACGGATAGAACGAAAGTGAGAAACGCAACCTTTGTTCAACACTTACATTTGCGTAAACTGTTTAGTGGTAATCAGATGGCACGAAATTACAAAATTCCGATACAGAAGGATGTATTCTCCAAATACTTAATTCCTTTCATAGCATAAGTTGTATATATATATCTTTCCGTTTAATATTAACGGCGTATTTATTATTAAAAACAAGTAATTATATAACGCAATTGCTAAATTTCTTCATAACAAAATAAAGACTATATTTGTATTTAAACAACAGAAAAGATCGGGGAGTCGATATAGTGCTGAAACGAACGCATGTTTTATAATCGAATTTTAATGTAAATAATAGCCAAATACATAATCGTTTTCTTTAAATTACTATATTCCAAATACTTTACGTATGAATATTACTTTTTATTGACAAATCTCTGTATATTACGATTTATTTTATCCCTAATTATTTATAAACTTTTTACATTAGACTTGAATAATAATATTATACAATATTTCGTTTCAAATTCAAATTTGCTTTCTCACCTATTCGATCTACATCCTATCCATGAGCTGGTGTGATTAAAATAAAATCGGATGAACTTGATATTCGTCCTGTTAGAAGTTTCGTTTTCGATATTACGTCGTTACAACAAATTATCGTATATTTTGCAAGCTATAATAAAATATATTAGACTAGTATACAATTGGTCGATACTTTCTTTCCACATTAAAATTTTCATTCATTGATACGAGGAAAATTTCCCACGCGTGCTCTTTAAAAGTCATAAAAAACGTGACAATTAATTCCTACTTTTAAACATAACAAGCTCCAACAATGATTACTTCAAAAAAAACGCGAAGTATTTAGAATCATAGGTCAAAGCATTGACATAATTCAGGGTGTACAAAGTGGAATGACGTTCTTTGATCTATATATATATATATAATATATTATAATATATATATATATATAATATATATATAATATATATATATATATATACACACATTCTTTAATTTATTTCAACAAAAACAGCAGCGATAATATGAATAATTAATAACGTATCCCTCAGTCGATTAACGTGAATGCACAAAATTCTAAAATCATAGAATAATAAACGGGTAGCGGCTTTCCTCTGCTTCATCTTCCTATCACGCATTCTGCACGTTCATTCTACCTTTTTAAGTGCCACGAAGGGAACGTTTTATCTTTAACTAAACGATACTCAACCACCTGACGCAGTGTTTGTTTCCAAATCCAGTAATTGGAATATTTATAGAAATATCACCTGTTACTTTTTTGTAACTCGATAAATAGAATTGATTGACTATTCATTTAAAAGACTCTGAAGCTTTCAATTGCTAGACTTGAAGGAAACGATTCTTTCGGGTGATCGAGTATGAAAATATTGAAAGTTTTGATGAGTATTATACCTCCAGGACCATCATGGCACTTGATTTGGCCTAGTCTTGCCACAGGAACCAACTTGCGTTACAAACACTGTTAGAACGAGTATACCAAAGTATACATTACGTTGTTTTGCTACGATCGAACGCCTTTCTTTATATTACTTACACTGAATTCGACGTTAATTACATTTATAATTCATCACATACATTCTTTATTCGCCACCCCCCGTCCACGATACGTGTGACTAGTAATAAAAAAATGTTACTTTTAAAATAACTTAAATATCTTTCACTCGTAAATTATACACTTGCGTGCATATATTTATGTATACGTATATATAAATCAGTTTCACTTTCATGCTTCCGTGCTTTCCATCATTTTCTATTTATAAACGCGTCTAAGTGGAATGATCGTTACAACTGAGAGATTAGAGTATTTGACAATAAAAGAGAAGAAAGAAAGAAAAAGAGAACATCGCTGAAGGATATATTACGAAAGCCACGCTTCTAAGAACCGACACGTTACTTTTCCAAATGATAAATTTCAATTGCGCCGATTGTTTGCAGGAAGAACAAGACTTTGAAGTGGAAGTACATATATTGATTTTCTTGGTCGTCGATTCGTCAGAATCCAAAGAATAATTAATTAACGGTACGTACGTTACAATTTGGTGGCTTTCATGCTACAATGTCTCAATGTTCGATAATAAAACGACGTCGAAATAGTAAATATGCTTGTATGATTGCAAATGACATATCAATGTTAATTACTGAGATAAGGCCACTAGTGGGTGATACAAATACGATATAAATATTAGAGTTAAGCATAGATTCAAAACAATGGTTAGCGACTACATAGTATGTCCAGGCAAGAATTATCATTGAAAATGAAGTCTCTGTAATACGTGAATCCTGCTACACACAAGATTCAGTTATTGTCATAGTTTCATTGTAACGCGACGGGTATGATACATGAATCGCGTGTTTTAAAAAATTTCGCGTACAAAGTTTCTTTGACACACGTACATTCTTGCTGGACATATGTAGAACATTAATTACCTATTGCGTTGAAAATCTACGTATTAACAATAGACAATTCGTAAATAAGGGATTCGTAGTTTTTGATACTGAATATAATATTTGTCCTTTCCTTAAAAAGTCTTCTAACAACTAGAATGTACAATACAATTCACGCAGTTTGTGTAAACACGATATAAATACAAAAATCACTAATGCCTCCAGTTACGCTTGCATTGTCAACAAACATCCGTTTAATGTCGCAGTTTCATTTTTTTTCTTCGATATCAAAACAAAGAAATTAGAGAGGCTCTTAATATTCTTTGCTCGGTCGATCGTTAGATAATATAAAAGAAAAGCATTTTTTTTTTAATGTATAAATTCGGAACAAAATATTTTCTAAACAGACTATGTTAAGTCTTCGATACGAAACGAATGGACTTAAATTCCGCGAGAAATTGTCTTGAAAAATTGTCTTCAGTTCTAATTTGTCTCTGATCGTTTACACACCATGTTCCAGGCACTATACATTGAGCGTTGCTCGAGCCAGACCAGATCTGGCTTAAATTGTGTGTTACAACGTCGACTCGTGTATTATCGTTGTGTCTGGATCACTACTGGCACTGTGAATTATCGTAGATTGCGGTATTAACGTAATGGACGACATTTTTCGAACAGGCTTCGGTGAGGCCTGAAAGCATACATATACACCAAAATTAAAAAGAGAATACTCGTACATTGTCCAGGGTCCAAAATTATACGTTGTTGGTTCTGAACTTACCCATTCTCTTCTGCATGGTGCTTCATCGTCTGAGTAATGATCAATCTGACCGATATCCGTTTCTGTCGCAACATTCCTTTTCTTGGGTTGTAAAGTAGCGTAATTGCGACATCCCCTATTGAAATTCGTTATGTTCTTTTCTTCCACGATCTTATCTTGACACAACACTTCCTGCGATTTACTTTGATTGTTATTTGAAACGTTGTTATTAGTCTTGTTGTTGAAATAAAAAGGCGGCATTTTCGAGACCCAATGATCAAGTCCGGATCCGGCTGAGCTTGTGGAAGCAGCCGAAGAATTTCCAGAATTATTAGTTAACCCTCTTCGTTGATAAAATAACATGTACGCAGCGTTTGTTATTAAATTGGTATCGTTCACGGCCTCTACTCGGGTATCGTCGAAACAATACCACTGCGTATCGTACGGATTCCGACAGAACGCGGTATAGTGACCTCCCTGTAAATCTTGCCCATGATGATTACAAATCGCATAAAGATCGTAAACGTTTTCATCGTATTTTGGAATATTTTGTTGGCGTGGTCTGGGTTTCTTCCAAGGCGACCAACCTAGACCACCTAAACTACTAACGTTATTATGCGTTTGTACTCCATTATGAGCAAGATGTGGAGTCATATCGAAACCGTACAAAGGAAAATCGACTAACATGGTCAATTTCGACGTAGACCTTTGTTTAGACTGTTGTCGAAATCTTTTTAGATGAATAACTAAGATATCAGGTAAAGACCAAAGTCCCAACTTCTTCACCACCTCTTGTTTCTTATTGCAATACGGACAGTGCCACGCGTCCTCTGCCCCTAATATCTCGGCTCTCGTATACAAATCGAAGCATTCTTCCAAAGTAACAGCTCCTCCTAGTTCTGAATTCGTTTTTAATTGCTTCACACTGGCGTGCTCTTCGATTTGATCATTGTCATCTTGAATAATATTACACTTAGTGGCTTCGTCCCACTCTAGAATTAATTTTACATGTTGAGGACCGGAGTCATCGGCACAAAGGGCCAACGCTTGTTCGATCTGCTCTGTGTAAAGAGGGTGCTCCACACAGGGATCTATACATGGATGCTCGTCCTGAATAGGTGTAGCAGCGGGGTCCGCAACACGAATGTTAAACAGTCCAGGACTCTGACTCGACGTA